AAATTGATCGTACGGTTTGGTTAGATTGAGCACGCAAATCAGCCGACACGCAGTTCGGTTGAATAAGTTGGGACCGGCAAGCAGTCCACATTGATGTATAAACTCTTCCATTCTCTCCCACTGAGAGGAAGCAGCGAGGCGAAAATATGTCCGATCTGGTGGCGACGTCGCCGGCGCCGAGATCCGCCACAGATTTCTTCTCTGATCCATACGACTCCCATCCTCTATGGTTCAAGCCTTCCCTCTTCCTGTCCCCTGGCTTCGACTCCGAGTCCTACATCTCGGAGCTGCGTACATTCGTTCCATTTGACACTCTCCGATCCGAGCTCCGATCCCACCTTGCATCCCTCAACCGCGAACTTGTTGATCTCATCAATCGAGACTATGCCGATTTCGTCAATTTGAGCACTAAGCTCGTAGATATCGATACTGCTGTTGCCCGCATGCGAGCTCCGCTTCTTGATCTCCGTGAGAAGATCACTGGATTTCGTGGATCTGTGGAGGCCGCACTTTTCTCCCTAAGGAATGGATTGCAGCAGCGTTCTGATGCTGCTGCTGCGAGGGAGGTTCTCGAATTGTTGCTCGACACTTTTCATGTGGTTTCCAAGGTACACCATTTTTGGTTTCTCGTTCTTAATTTTCCACTTAGCAATTGCTGGTTATAGATCTGGATCACAGGACTTGGGCTAGCCTTTAGTTTACTCTAGACAATAGATAGTTTCTTCAATATCCTCAATGCAAAATCTATAGTTTTGATCTATGTGTGATCCTTAATTGTAATTCCGTTTATACTAAGCAAAAGATTTCTCTCCATTGTTTTTCTTTTCATTTCTTGGTTTTAGATAATCTGAACGCTTAACGTAAAGAATAATGTCTATTCATTGTAAATGTAGGTTGAAAAGCTCATCAAAGTTCTACAAACCACTCCTTCTGATTGGCAAAACGAGGATGCTAATGCCATGGGAAGGAGTTCTTTGAATGATGAAAATTCCTCGCAGCAGGATGGCACTACCATGAGAGAAACCCAGAGCATGCTCTTGGAAAGAATAGCTAGTGAAATGAATCGGCTCAAGTTCTATATGGCTCATGCACAGGTCTCCATCATGCATTTACTTCTTTTTTGTTTGCTGGAGTGTTTTTCCTTTTTCACAATTCATTGTCCATCTCAAATTAGATTACATTAGATATGCACCTCCGTTCCTTTTGCTGGATTAGTTTTCTATGGAATTTTTTTGAGATAATTGATAGTAGGAAATCTTGCTTTTCAGTCGTAGCGGTTCTTGAGTTTCTTTTTTTTTTTTTCGTCAAAAAAAAAATGTGCTTCTTACAGGAAATGACAAAAGAAGCTTTGAATATACTGCGTTTAAGAGTAGTACGGAATCCTGTGGATCAAAACTAGTTATGAATTTGGGGCTTGAGAAGTGCCTGGCCTACTAGGAAAATTCATTGGTTTCAAGAAGATTAGTGTCAAAAGAAAATTATATTACATGAGATTCTACCTGGTCAATCTTGTTAAATACGTGGGGTTCTTCAAAAACTCCATTATGTTTTGTTAGGCTCAATGGACAATAGAAACTTTTACGACTGATGCTCACTACTTTTTCTGTTATGCCAGTACAGAACCTGCCTTTCATTGAGACCATGGAGAAGAGGATTCAGAGCGCTAGTGTGTTATTAGATGCTAGTCTTGGTCATTGCTTCATTGATGGGCTAAACAACAGCGACACAAGCGTCCTTTACAACTGCCTACGTGCATATGCTGCCATTGATAACACCAAGAATGCAGAAGAAATTTTTCGTACAACGATTGTGGCTCCATTTATACATAAAATTATTGCACATGAAACATCAGCAGATTCTGCTGGAACATCGGGAGATGAAC